CATTAACACCATATTAGGCATTCCAACGACCTGTCCAAATGGCTACCAGTGGGTAATGACAGTTTAGATATGGCAACCCTGTTGTCATGTTGTCATTAACAGGGTCAATGATACATATATAGTTATATAGATTGCTCAAAGCTGGTCGTTAACGAGCGGCCATATTGCCTGGCAAATATTTATTAATTTGAATCGGTTTAGCAAAAATATGTTTTAAAACCAATTTTTAGCCTTTAGATATTTAAAAAAAAATTATTGCTTACATTTTTACTTCAAGGCATACGCTTATGTTTATTTTGAAAAATATGGATAATCAATCTATGTAACTATCTATTTCATTGACCTTGTCAAATCACCAGGTCTACAGGCTTGCCATAATTTTGCAATATCATAACCCGTCAAAGCCCACTGGTAGGCATTCAGTTTGGAATGCCCAATAGATTGCAATTTGCTGGGGACTTTTTAGCAGATTTCATTTTTAATTTAAACACTATCACATACTATAAGAAATAAACAAATTTAAAGCTAAAAAGTAAGAAAAAACTCGAATTGTAATTGATACAAATTAAAATGTAAACAATGAACACGAACGCCAATGTTGCCAAATGATGAACTGATTTTGTCTCTGACTGATTTTAAAACAAAATTAATAAATGAACTGAAATTTAAAAAAAAATCAATATAATTAATCGATTTTATAAAAAATCCTTAAATAAATATAGAGTATGATTACATATTACTAGACACAAATTTTGATATTTAAATAAAAGGTCTTATCCATTTCTTCAAGAACTAAAATCCGACGACGTAACGAAATTTTTCTGCATCTGGCAACACTGAACGATATCCTACTTATAGGGTCCTTCTACTAATTTCCTCCAGAGGGCGTATCACTTAGCTTGAATCGCGAATAGTAAAAGAAAATCAAAGTATGTGGTATATACCGTTTTATATTATAGAAACTTATTTTCAAAAGTACGCCCATGGAATGTGACGTTATCACGGCATAATAAACAATCGGCAGGCTAACTTGTCTTGGCGGCAACGCTACTATACTCTGTTTTTAAACTAAGAGGAGCGATTTGAATTTAAGTTGGCAATTCTGTAGCCTTCTGATTGGTGAGATTACAGTCAGTTTCACACATTACTTTTTAGCATGAACATTAGCTAATAATTGATATTGTTGACAGTTCTGACATTTTATAATTTGATATCTCACCCATTACTTAGTTTTTTACTTTATTTCGTAAATAATAGTTCTTCAGTAAGCAATTGTATTGAAAATCTACAACTATGGATCCTTCTACACTGAGTACTATTAAAGGTAGCAATTCCTGAAAAGCCTTACAAGAAAGGGAAGACACCTTATTATTTTCTGAAGGTTTTGTAGAAAATGCATTATTGGTTTTTGAAGGTAAAAAGATGGGAGATTACCATGAAGAGATGAATTCCGAAGTATTTTAGAAAAAAATAATTTTATTACTGATTTTTTAAAACTAAAAAATTGATGAATTTCTAACCAAAATTATTAAAATGTAACTAAATATTCAAGCAAATTTTATTTATTAGAATATAATAGAACTGTTTACAAAATTGTTATAACATTTAAAACACGATCTACTACTTTAGAGACAATTTTAATTTGGCACAATGAGTTAACATTACTTTCACAAAAAATATTTAAAAAATACTTAAAATTAATACATTTAATACATAGGCATGTATGAATAGTTCACTTTAAAAAATATATGTTGACATGTAGTGTTATGAAAATGTTGGTTCCAGTTTTCAAAACAAATTCTGACTCATAGGCCTGTAAACTTTTAAATGCCTTTATTGCCCTCTAGCGCATTAACCATGGGTTAACACTAAATAAGCCATAATATCCACATTACTCATAGAAGAGATACCAGTTACTGTGTGATCCACTTATCATTCATTGATTAACTTTTACTTTTTATACCTATAACAAATATATCCTTAAAAATTTAAACATATCTTTATATTTTATACTAACCTGGCTACATCTGGATATTCCATTAATAATTTTCTTAAATATTTAATATCCATTTATAAAAAGATCATAGTTATTCTCAAAAAGTCGATTTCAAAAGCAAGAAAAAAGTATTTCTGACATCAATCAACAACCATATTGACTTTAATTTGACAGTAATATTTCGTTTTAGACACACATTTCAGATCACAATAATGTGAAATTTGCCACCGTTGTCTGGGACCAATTAAAAAATTACTTGTATGACATTTATTCGTTTCTTAACCGCTCATTGGCCGTTCACCGACTAAGGCCGATAAAGATAATTATTTCATAAATTTTGAACACGACTATATTTCGAAACTCGCTCTTAGTAACAAATCTAGTTACTTTTCCCTGTGTAAATGCGTCTTTCCAATTCGCTCCTCCTAGTTTAAAAACAGAGTTATAACACATCTACGCGCACACCGCCATTTTGGGGTCCAACCTCTCAATCAAGCCAGTGGCGTTACTGTCGTCGTTTATATCGACAAAAACAAACAAGTTGCAGTAGCACGGAATCAGTAGCGTGTATCTTAAATTTATTTTGTTTGTGATGTTTGTATTATGTAGTTATTGTTATTTTTTTAGAATTATAGATATTTTTTGACACTTTTTATATAGTAGTTGTTTTCCAGTGTTAATTTGTTAACTTTTAAGTGTTTTACTATGTCTGGGCAAAGTTGTGCAGCAAAAAACTATATGAATAAACTGTATTAAAAGATTTTTTCGGTTTCTTAAATATCTTATTAGGTATGTATGGTATACTTTTAAAAAAATCCTAGTTTATGAGTCAGTTTGTCAGTTATAAAGCTATTAGTAAGATGTTGGTAGGTGCCTAGTTAACGTCACGTAAAGTTTAGCGTCAATTTATATTTACTTATGTAAGTATATTATTAAGATTTAAAGTAAAATGTTATATTTTAAACATGTCCCGTATAGAGTTGACAAAATGGAAAAATCTTTATTTTTATTTTAAGGAAAAAGTCATTATAAAAAAATTCTGTTTGACGAAAAAACAGGTTTACTATATTAATATGTTAGGTTAGGTGTACATGGTCTTAATAAATGAAGAAACTTAAAATTGACAAAAGGAAAAAAATCTGTATTACCTTATTGATTTTACGAAGAAAAGTCAGTTTTCCTTTCGGTTTTCCTTAAAAAAAATGAATATTAATCGTAATTGTGTTATTCCCAAATATTGAAATGCTTAGCAAAAATTTAATTCTGATATTCATTTTGATAATTATTCTAGATATGCCAATAACAAAGCTTTATAATCTTGATAAATCTAAAGCATTTTCATTACAAAAAGCAAGAAAATCTTAATTAGCCATTAAAGAAATTATAAGTAGTAAATTAGTAATGAGTCACAATCAAAATCATGTGTTTTAAGCAGTGCTATTAAAAATGTAAAATTCTTATATTTTGTCGAAGTAAATTCAAAAGCCCGCCAATTTTCAAGCTAAAATAGCATTACATCTTTCTATATTACCGACTGAGTATTAATTGCACAAAACTATTCCATATGTCGCTGAAGGTAAACATGCTGCCAAATTTCTGTGAGGAATCTGCAACTCTTAATTATCCTTCCTCCATGATGGTAACTGTGTAAACCCTACATCGGTCCAAATTCAAAGGACGTTCAAAAAATTGCAATGTTTAAATTTATTACATTCTGGAACTGAAAATTGCGAAACAGGTGGGGATGCTTTACTTGTAAGGCTACATGAAATTCGTAGGACTAGTAAGGATGAGCCATTTTCCAAAATCGTGTGTAATGGTGGCAATATTGTCGAAAATGTAAATATAAACAAGCATTTTAATGAATTGCATGCATAAAATATTAATATTTTTTAAGAAAATTTTATTATATATGCTGATTTTTAATAAAAAAAATGTCTTAAAATTCAACGTTGCAATGTATGTACACAATATGCCTTAACACACGAAGACTTGGATATAAGCTCCATGTATTGTTATTATAAAGCATACAAAAAAAGCAAATAAAGATATTTTTGGCAATTTAAAAATGTCAATTAATAGTTTTGTATGTTTAATAACAAAAATTGAAATAATTTTTCATCACAATTTTGAATTATTTATCACTAAATCCGGCGTTTATAATTTTTTTTTAGATTTAATTAATTCCGAGATAACATTTGACGCTCCTTGTCCCCGATTTCCATAAATATATGTTATTAAGGGTCGATTCCACCGTTGTGTAAAATGGAGATTAAAATGACATTGTTAATGTAAAAATGTAATTTTAAACTTCGTTTAATACAACGGTGGAATCGGTCCTAAGTTATATTTAAGGCTGCTCATATATTTCACTTTAAAAATATTAATAGAAATTTTAAGACCATCAATAAAAACAAGCTAATTATTTGGCGCAATCTGTGAAGCTTTTTTGTTTTAATACGATCCTGCCTATCAATACCTTATTTTATTACAAAATCTTTAAATACGCTTTAATCCGACCCTGACTAAGACCCCCGAATGGCGTCGTCAAGGTCAAATTTTCTTATTATAATATTTGTATGCGATCAGCGGAGAGTGGGCCTGCCGATTGTTTTTTATGCCGTGACGTTATATCCTCACTTTTACTGCACTCCTCTTTTATATAGACTATAAAATTGAACAAGAGCGAATCCATGGGAATGCTGCATCTGTCTCTTTATTTACATCATGAATTAATTGATACATTTTTTTGTAGAAATGTCATTTTTGTAATCAAAATTGTCCAGTGTGTTCATCATATTCGATATGTTTCATTCATAATAAAATTAAAATAATAAAAAAAATATAAAATGACATTATAAGAGATTGCTATTTAGAATTCAATAAATACCAAAAAAATTGCACATCTTGTCTTTATAATATTCCATTACAATGCCAACCAAGAAGATGAAATTGAAGATGTGTAATCTGAGAAATGAAGTTAGTTTATACAAGGAACTTTTAGCCGAACTCAAAAAGGAGTATTTTCGAAACAAAAGGAAGTATTTACAACAGATAAAAATCTTGAGAGCTGAAACGGAAGATTACAAAAACCAACTCCTTTCGAAAGAAAAACTTTTAGAAAATATTCAAAACGACTACACTATGCTTCAGACGAGACATAAGTATATGTTGAGGAGGTCGTTTAATTCGTTAAAATTAAGTAAGGAACATACTGATTTATATGAAATGAATGTTGCGTTGACTTTCTTATAAATTGGTAATAATTTGGAACATGTATGAGATTTACTCATAAATATTTTCAAATTAAATTTGTTACAGACAAATTTAATATTTTCTTGAGGATGTACTTTTAGTTTTATAATTGTAATTGTCTATACGATATTTTTTACAAACGATAATTTACTTAATAAACTAAATATTTTATTCGAATATCTTTTATGAGTTCCACCATTACCAGATAAAAATTTCATTATCCTAATTTCCAGATTTCCCGTTATTTTTCTTTTTACATATCTTTGCATACTTTAGTATTTATCAAAATCTTAACATTTTTGTAGTTCGCAAGTTAATGAATAGCCCAAGTGAAGATTTCCTTCAACCTGAACCAGAACTTAATCTTTTTCAATGTAGAACTTACGCTGGCTTTGAATGATGTAGCTGAAATAGTTGAAAATAGTGCACTATTATCAATCTTGTAAACTCATTATAAAATTTTGTCTAAAAATATTTGGAATAAAACATTAACGCATAAAAATATGTGAATTAGTTGTACATATCAATTTGATGTTTCATTTCATTTATATTATTTGTTGTCATTTTGAATTGAAAATAAATGAAAATATTAGAACCGAAGTATTTTCTTAAAGGTAATACCTACCTAAAATAGATTATAGCTCGGGACACACTGAGAAGATGCAGTATGGCCAGGCATAATCAATGTATTTCTAATGGGAGACCGGCACACTATGTTGCCGTCTTTCCGATAGTTGTGACAGGGTCGGCCCAGTAGTAGTCAATGTTATTAGAACATATATTCATGGCTGCATATATATGAGGACCGTTTGTCCTTCTTGATGTCTAATTGGACGGCTTTCTGGAGAAAGGAAGCAACCCACAAATTTGTAATTTTTAGACTTTCGCATAATATTGCATTAAGAACCGTAACCATTAATGCAAAAAAAGATCCAGGTCACCATCTGGTACCGAGCGTTATTTGTTAGCCAACGAACCAACCGACTAAATTGGTTAATCAAATAACCTGCCTGCAGAAGCAATCCAAGCGAATTGGTTGCTTTCTGCATAATAGAGAAGAGAGTTGGTGATAGTTTATTTGGTTCTCTGTGAGAGTGAGTGTGAAGTATTATAGAAAAACTAATATTTTTGTGATATAATATTAATTGATAATATTAGCATATCTCAAATAATTCTGATGACAAAAGCTATTGGTTAGGAGAAGGAAATCCGAAGCTTAGGTCAGGTACATTGTGTATTAAGATAATAAATAGAAAAGTTGGCTGTTTAAAAAAAAACACATAAGATACTTCTTGATAAAAATATACAATTTTCAATATTTGTGAAAAACAAATTTGAAGACACGTATGCTGAAATAGATATCAGAAAAACAAATTAGTTCGTCCGGCATTATATAAAGATTTGTTAATACCACTTTGGCGTAAAGAAAAAAAGTATAAAATCCAAAGATAGAGGACAAAAAATCTGTGATGCACTTAATTCCGAACGATTGCATGAAATTTTATGAACATATAACTGTCACAGACATCGACGACAATGTGGATGGATTTAGCGGAGCGCCTGATTTTGAACTGGAACCTATGATTGTAGAATAAAATAAGAAGACAATATATATGTTTTACCTACTTCTTTTAACAATAAAGTATCTTTAACCAAACAGTGCTAACATTTATTTTACAGAAAGGAGTTGACACACAAAAACCAAAAATTCCCAGTGAAACATCTTCTGTTTTAAATTTGTAAGGCTAGCCCCATATTAGGCAGTCGTTCAGTCGCCGATCTTCTATAATCTTTTACGAGCAATTCGTTAACTCGCTATATTGAGCTAAAGATCGATTAAAATGCCTAGCATTTTAATTAACTACGCAAAGATCTGCTGCTCATTTTAGGCGGCTGATCTTCTGTCTAATGTGGCTCTAGCCTAAGAATATTTTATACGCATATTTAAAGCCCATATGCAAAAAATTTATTTAGCACTGATTATGGCAAAATTTTATATTTTAAAACATAAGCACCAAAGTTGTCTTCGAAACCGTTGTATATTTATCAAAATTGCATAAAACTCCAACTAGATCATTTAAATACAACACCATATTATCTTAGCGTTGCAAGTAAGCAACAATCAACTTTACACTGCTAACAAATACTGAAATCGTTTTCATTTGTGGTTTTAAACTAATGTGAGGTTACATGCAACATTTATAAACCTAACATTTATAAAATAAAGCAAAAAAATGTATAATTATGAAAATATATAGGTACTTACTTAAACCGGATGTCCATATTGTTCAAATTCTCTTAATCACAATTCATCAAACTATTTAAAACTCGTACTAAAAACTCTTTGTAACAAGCATGCTGGTGTTACTAGATAATTAAATATTTGTGACGCCACATGCTGCGATATCTATTCGCCAGGTTTCTAAGCTGCTTTACAAAAATTTAGTTAAGGTGATTACAGCACCCCCTTATAATTTTCGGACAAGGATATCTCAAAAAGTAATTTTTTAAAAAATTTAAATTTTGGAAAAATAAATAATATCTAGAATATGCATATCTTTTAAAGTTTTAATTCCTTCCAGTTTCCGAGAAAAAAAAATCAAAGGGCTTTAAATTTTGAAATATCATGATGAAAATAAATGTATTCCTCAACAGCACTATTCTTAATATAATCCATGAATTTAAGCTCTTAATGGCTTGTTAATGATTTTTTAAAATTCGCCGAAATTAGTGGCTCAAACGCCTCGTTAAGTGCTATCTTCTGGTGTAAACTGGTGTAAATAATTTCAGGAAACAAATGATGACTGACAGTGTACGATACGATAGTTATAGTCGCGTTACAATAGAACGCAGCACTTAACGAGGCGTTTTAGCCACTAATTTTGGCGAATTTAAAAAAATCATTAACAAGACAATGGGTGCTATGATTGAACGTTTACGTTATCCGTAACATACATGTTAGGCTCAGTTTTAACAGTAATTATGGCAAGTTCGTATAATGAAAAACGGTTTCCAACACATTACTGTTATTTTCCGCCTGTTATGTTCTAATTTAACAGTTTTCCATCATACAAACTTGCTTCGTTACTGTTAAAATTCGACCTAACATGTACGTTATGGATAACATAAACGTTCAATCATAGGACCCAATGGGTGCTATGATTGAACGTTTACGTTATCCGTAACGTACATGTTAGGCCGAATTTTAAAAGTAACGAGGCAAGTTCGTATGATGGAAACCTGTTAAATTAGAACATAACAGGCGGAAAATAACAGTAATGTGTTATGAAAGACTTTACATCATACGAATTTGTCTCTTTTCTGTTAAAACTCGGCCTAACATGTACGTTACGGATAACGCAAACGTTCAATCATAGGACCTATTATCGATTATAATCAAAGAAGGATGTTCCAGACTAGGTATACATTTCGTCTAAAATTATTTTTTTAAATTTTCTGTGTAACGAATTTACTTTTGTTTTAATTTGGCTTACTTTTTTAGGCAGGATCAGTATCAAAATTTGTTGGTTTACTAAGTATATAGATAGTTTTCTGCGAAATATTTAATGCATCTGCAGCCATTTGATTTTACCTCTTTCCAATACTTATAAATTTTTAACAAATTGACAAATTCTAAATCTAGTAACTTTTTGTTTCGTCCATTTTACATTTAAACAATAAAGAAAGCATTCACATTATTAACATAGTTGCCAAATTAATACGGAAAAGTCTATATACTAGGATTATTAGTGATAATAATTCGGAATTAAGAAATGGCTTTCAAAATTATGTACAGTAAGGAAGTATATTTGCATTCTTAATACCAGTTATTGTCAGTTTATGTTTTTTTCTCATTCTAAGTATTGTAGTTAAAGGGGATTTTCAGGAAAGTACTGTGACAACAGTGTAAGGCAAGAAACATTTACAAAAATATATTTCTAGAAAACAGCAATATTGTTATTTTATGCTTTTAATGATAGGCTATAATGAAATTCGAATTAAAATTTAAACACGTTGAGAATTTTATAATTCACAAATCATCTTTAAAGGACCCTGTACTTTTACTGAGGCCCTTCCTATGGGGCCTCAGTATTGCATTCATGCAGGCGAAAAATTTTTCTTAAAATCCGCCTATGCGTTTCTTATGTGACAATTATAGGAATTCCAATCATTTCTAACGTCTAACATTCTTAACATTTCATAAATTGCAAACATTCTCTAACGACCTATCAAACAACATCTGTTGATAGTAAAGGTGAGATTTCTAAGGCGGGTTGCGACCTTAATTCTTGTAACCATAGCCATTTTGGAGGCTATTTTTATTCAAAATTAGTCGCCAAGCCTGCCAATTTATAAAAAATATATAAGCAATTTCTTAAAAATGACTTTTTTATGGTGGTGCTAACTTAAGCGTACTACTATTTCATCCGTAGCCACAAAAACACCTTCATCAAATTTACTGGCTCTCTGTCGCAACCCCATAGAATAATTAACCGGCCATTTTATTTGGCAAAAATCAGAATAATGATTGGCTGTGCCTGTCAAGTAAGATGTCAACTGTGATGTGTGAATGGCTCTTAAATGTAAAATTATTTAAAAATGTATTCTTTTGATATTTATTGCAAATAATTTGTAGTGTATTTCAATACAGGCTTTCCATAAATAAAGGTACAGCAAGACAGATAATATAATGTTCTTATACAAATCACTTTTTTATTATATAAAAGAGAGGTAGGATATAATGCTGTTTTTTTGTAGATAATTTTAATTATACGATTTTGGATTACATTAAGGGGTTGAAGTGCGATATCATATAGTCCACATTATCGCAAAATAGATTCAACCAGCGAATTTTAAATAATAATTAATAAACTAGTCATAAATTTCCTTAATTCATAACATTTAAAAATGAATCTTCTTACCTTGGGATTTTAATGACGTAATGTGATCAACCCATTTCAAATTTTGATCAATTATGATAACCGAGGTATTTTATTGTGTTTTTCATTTTAATTATAGAGTTGTCATTTATTTGTATGTTGAAAGAAGGCCTTTGTAAATTACATTGCTCTCTATGGATCTACTTTAACACAAAAATAGTTTTGTGGCTAATAAGTTTCTATAACCTATCGTCGCAAAACTATTAATAATTTAAACATAGTAAGTAGTATTAATATAACATCAAGTAATTTTTCAAAATAAAAGTACATGATCTCAAAACGAATAATTTATAATAAATGCGGGTAAAACGAGGGGTAAAATAACAATAAATTAAGGGAAATACTTAAAAAGGGCAGGTTTAAAGTGTATTATCACAAGAAACTATATCGGTTCTGTTTATTTATCAAGGTGTCATCGGCGTCGACTACTACGGCCATTAGCCTCGTGTTCTGTGTAGGC